AGCACTGAATGGAGGCTCAGGGCACATGGGTTGTCTCCCGGGATCTTAGCTACACCCTCCTGGGGAACACATTGCTGCTGTGAGGTGGGCAGGGGCTGGAAGGAAGGGGAGATGGGAAGGGCTGTGGGGGGGTGGTCTGGGAGAGACCCAGGAACAATCCAGAAGGGAGGGGGGGATGGCTTGGGCCACTGGAGGGCTTCTATTGGGTATGGCCAGGGATGCAGAAGACCAGCCCAGGAGTAAAAGTCCAGAAACGAGGAAGGAGGAAGGGACCCCACCATCTGGAGGTGTCCCACCACTCAGACCTCTGTGTGCAGACAGCCCTTGGCCACACTCCCAAGGAGGAACCTGTGTGTAGATGCCACCTGCTGAGGGTTTAGGGAGATTCCCCACAGGGGGAATAATAACCACAGGTTTCATTATCTTCATTAGCTAAAGATCTGTGTGCTCCAAAGCTTGGCCACACTGAATTCCTGTTTTTCTGGCAGAAAAATGGGTTGATGCTCAGATCTTTCAAGGCAAATATCTTTAAGAAAAGACTTCTAGCCCTTGCCAGTGTGGCTCAGTTGGTTGGAGCATTGTCCTGTGTAAGGAAAGGTTGGGGGTTCAGTTCCTGGTCAGTGCCTGTACAGAAGGGAACCGATGTTCTCTCTCACATCGATGTCTCTCTCTCCTTTTCCCTCTCTCTAAATCAATAAACATATCAACAGGTGAGGATGAGAAACAAAAAAGAAAAGACTTCCATGATGAAAAATTTTAAATGAGCTTTATCTTGCATGCGCACATAATTAAATGAGCCAATATTAAGTCTACAATTTGAGTTGGACCAATGCATAATACAGTCCCATAAGCACCACCATAGGCCAACTAGACAACCTTCCACCACCCCTTTGCAATCAGCCTCACATGCCCGCTGGGGAGGGGCAGGAAAGACCCAGGAGGGAGGAGGAGGAGGAGCTGAGGTCAGGCCCAGCTGTTCCTTGTGTACATCCTGAAGTGAGGGCTTATCGCCTCCATTTGCCCCACAGGGACCCTGCAGTCCAGGCAGCCAGTGGCTGTCTCAGGGGCACACAGTCCAACTGAAACCAGGCACAATGGGTCTGAGACCGCCTGTCACTACTTGAGCCAAATTCAGCAGAGACACAGTTGAATCATATGTAAGTGTTCATTCCAATAACTAGAGGCTCAGAGTATGAAAATTCATGCACTATAGGGCTGGTCTCTCAGCCTGGCCTGCCCCCTCTCACAGTCTGGGAGCCCTCAGGGTCGGGAGGCGAGCCAGCAATCAGGGGAAGGTGACACCCCCATCATACTTCTGCTGCTGCCATGCTAGTGGAGCCTTGGGCAGCCATGGGTGGCTGGGCAGCTGCCAACCAAGGCTTGCCTGCGCCTCGGGCAGGCCTTGGGCAGCTGGGGCTGTGGAGACTAAACACCACCATCTTGTGGCTGTGGGTAACCCCATCTTTGAGGGTGGGGCCGTCAATTAGCATAGTCCCTCCTTATTGGCTGTAGGTGTGTCTGACATCTTTTCCACAGCATGAGGGTCAATTAGCATATTCCCTCTTTATTAGATAGGATGCCAGTAGTGTGGGGAGAGCAGTCAGTCACCCTGGGAATTCTGCTCTGACCAGTTGGCTGGTTATAGACACACAGGGAGAAGCTAGCTATGTGCAGCTACAAGTATAACAGGGAAAGGGGTGGGCAGGGTCTGCAGTCCGGCCTTCAGGAGCTCAAAGTCCCATTACAAGGTGGCCAGCCTTCTGTGACGTACAAAGATAGTCCGCTCCGGGGGCCGGAGAATGGTCAGCGTTCCTGAGGCAAACTCGCAGAGGGGGTCAGGGTCCAGGCACAGCCACCAAACCAAAGCGCGTCCTGTCCTTGGTCTGTTCTCAAATGTAGTTCTTTTCTGAGTCACGGACCCACCCAGGCATCTGATCTTCTTACAGCCTTGTCTCCTCCTCCCGTTCCCCAGGGTCTGTAAGGAAACTCTTATCAACAGTGAGGGGAATCATCACTAAACACCTGAGGCTCTGTTTTTCTCACCAACTATCCAGACCACAGCAGGCCTGGCCGGTGTGGCTCAGGGGTCCAGCATCGACCTATGAACAAAGAGGTCAAGGTTCAATTCCCTCTCAGGGCACATGCCCAGGATTGTAGGCTGGATCTCAGTGTGGAGCATGCAGGGGGCAGCCAATTCATTATTCTCTCTCATCATTGATGTTTCTATCTCTCTCTTCCTTCCTCTTTGAAATCAATAAAAAAAATAGTCTTTTGGGGGGAAATACCCCAGCAGGACCCATCATCACCCCAGACACCAGGCTGCAAACCTGTGCCTTTCCTCCTCGCCTGGCACAGGTGATGTCAGTGCTGCCCCCTCCTGGAAGCTCACCGCAGTTCCCAGGCACATTGCCTCCTCTGTCCTCCTGGAGCCTGGTCTTGGGGTCCTCACAAGGGTCCCAGGTCAAGGCCCAGCTTGAACCCAACAGAGACAGTTCAGGTCCTGTTCCAGACCCTCCATGCCCTGCCTTCCCCAGTGTCCCTCTCCCCATCCCCACCCTCAGGTCCTGTGAAGCCCACCAAAGACCAGCCGGACACAGCTCCAGCTGCTCAGCTTCGGGCGGCCCTCCCAAACAGTCCGCAGTCTGGCCAGCACCCGGTGGCCGAGCTGATTAGAGGCCTCTGGGAAGGGCTAAGACTTTCTGGACCCAACCCCCAACTCCCTGCCTAGCTCCAAATCATGGACCCGATGGGAGCGTCCTCTATGAGATGTGGAAACTGAGGCACGGGGCAGGCTGCCTGATGACCCACCAGGACCAAGCTGCTCCAGGAACAGCCTGGACTCCTTCCCGCCAGCACCCGGCCCAGAGCCTCAGATCGGAGGTGCGGGAGCCACGTGGCTCTGGTGAACACGTACCTGAGTGGCACCACCTCTGGGTGCAAGGCCTGTGTGAACAGGTGGCAGCCGCACACAGGAGGTGACCTCTGGAAAGGGGAAAGTGCCCTTTCTGTCCAGCCCAGGAAGTGGGGCTCAAGTCCAGGCTGGCCCTGCCTGGCCCGGGGAGGCCGGATGCTGCCCAGTGTGGGGCGCTGCAGGTCGGGAAGGACCCAGTCCTCTGCCCCCTGGACCACCAGCGCCTTCCCTGGTCCCCACACGATGGGCCTTCAGGGCCGTCACCTGTTTTACCTCATTTGCCTCCAGCATTGAGACCCCCTCATTCCACCGGCACCACATACATGGTTTCCTGCAGGACCCCCACACCCCCAGATTGCAGGCCTGCTCTCCAACAAGAAACCCAGTCACCATAGGTGTGGCCCCTCGATGACTCTGACGGGACTGGGTTCTGTGCCCATTTTCCAGGGGAGCACAGGGAGGGTTGGCGCACGCCAGAGTGCCACCCCCGACTGGACCTGGGGTGCGGGTCACCAGCAGCCAGTGACCATGGGCCTGCATGGAGCGCCCTCAGGAGGACCCATGTGGGCACAAAGGAAGGGCTGTCCCCTCGCAGCCCCTTTGGCCCAGCAGAAGGCCCGCTGAGCCTCCCTGATAAGCCAGCACTCACTGTGTCTGTCACTGCCGCTGGCTGAGCGCCTGGAGATCCCAGGGCCAGACAAGGGGAAGCGAGGTGCCTGGCATCCTATCTGCTCCCCCAGTGTGGGCGTCTCAGCCCCAGGCCCCCCATGTCCCTTTCCTTCCTTGCACCCCCCTCCGGAGCCCTTGTCCCCCGGTGTCCCCGCACAGCCTGCACTGGGAACGTGTAGATGCGCTGGTGTAAGGTGAGCAATCCAGGGAGCTCAGCCCACTGACCACAGAGGCAGCCCCAAGAGTGTGGGCCGGAGAGGGAGGGGGGAGGACGCTGGCCGGCCCCTCTCTGCTCTCATATGGAGGAAGGGCAGAATTCTGGCTGCAATCAGGTGGTTAAGGGTGACAGGGAAGGAGGAGGTGAGCTCCCCACCACGGTGTCCACAGCGGGGAGGCTCAGGGGAGTGGGCAGAGGCCCTCCCACACGGACCTGCCAGTCTGCACTGTGGGCAGCAGAGCTCGGGCATGGACGCTGTGCCCAGGAGGCAAGCCGCACGCACAGCAGCCGGAGGCACAGAACCAGCGGCCCTGGGACATGAGCGGTGACAGGAAGCTCACTCAGCGACCGCTCATCCACGAGGTGTACACAGTGGACTAGGGCCTGGGGCCGTCAGTGTTGCAGGTGGACACCTGCCCCATGAGAGTCTCCCGATGTCTACATGTGCATGCGCAGTGCTGCCTGAGGCTGAGGACGGGGCTGGGAGGGCGGGCACTGCGTGGTCGGAGGGCCCCAGGGTGTGGGGCCCAGGGTTTATCTACATTGTGACTCCGATGCAGCTTACCTGGCTGCCCTTAGAATCTTCTTTTTAAAAACGTTTTATTCATTTCAGAGAGAAGGAGAGAGAAACATCCATGAGAGAGTCATCGACGGCTGCCTCCTGCTCATTCTTCTTCTGGGAACTGAGCCCACATCCTGGGCATGTGCCCAGACCAGGAAACAAGTCGTGACCTTCTGGTTCATAGGTCAATGCTCAACCACTGAGACTTTCTGGCTGGGCTAGATTCATCTTTTAAATGCTCTGTGTTGCTTTCTGTGTCCTGAATTCCCATGACTGCTCCCCGGGGAGACATAGTCCCAGGCACCAGGGCATGGGGAGGGGATGTCCCCACAGCCAGGCCAGTGCTTAGGGCCGGGTCCCCACAGTGACACACAGTGGCTGCGTGGCTGCCCCTGGAGCCCTCCCTCCCCCTCGGTGAGGCCCACAGCGGGACACACGGCCACAACCACATGTGTTCTTCATACACTTTAATGAGGGGCAGTGCCCACCACCACCCCCTGGGCTGAGAAGGGGTTGGCTGGGATGGCTAAGGGCAGGGTGCAGAGAGGTGGAAAGGGCAGACACTGGGCAGGAAGCAGTGGTCTGGGGACAGGAGAGGGCTGGATTCTCCTCAGCCCCAGGTGGCAGCCTGAGGGAAGGGCTCAGGGCTCCTTGGGGACGTACTGGTGGATCCAGTGCAGGTAGGAGGTGACACGGGTGTAGATGCCGGGCCTATTGGGTCGGGCACAGCCTAAACCCCAGCTGACCACACCCGCCTGCATCCAGGTGCCGTTGACCTTGCAGACCAGGGGCCCTCCAGAGTCGCCCTGGGGAGGAGAGCGGTCAGTAAATGGCTGCAGAGGCTGAGGGGTGGGCCTTGGGGGAGGACACGGACGCACCTGGCAGGCGTCACTCTCCTCGTCCCCCGCACAGATCACGTTGTCCTTGACAATATGGATGTTGTCCCCCATGTACAGGCCAGTATGGTATTCTGCGTCACATTTGCTGTTTTCCATGATGGGGACCCTCACCTCCTTCAGGGGGAACGGCAGGGGTAGAGATTCTGTGGGGTGAGAGGAGGAGGATGAAGCAGGCTGGGCTGGGAGGCTTTGAAACCTGCCAACCAATGGCACAGGGACAGGGATGGCACAGGGGCAGGGATGGCAGCAGGGGGCTGCTGCTACCTCCTTGGTGCCAGGCCTGAGCTCAGGCACATGGGCTGCCGTCTTCTCCCCTAAGGCGGGCCTCCTCCTTGACCTCACCTATGTCCCTTTGAGGAAGGAAAAGGAAGGGGTGGGATCCAGGTCTGGATTCCTCCCAGCTCTGCCTCCAGGCCAGCCTGGCCCCAGGACTCAGTTTTCGGGGCTGGATGGATTGGATGTTTTGTCTCCACTGGTGCCTGAGTGATGCCACAATCAGGTCCCTTGTGGGAGGCCCAGAGCATGTGCCTCACGCAGGGCGCCTGCTCATGCTCAGTGTCCCCAAGGCTTTGCTCTGGATTGTGGGCTCAGGGAGAGAAGATGATGGTGCTGGAGGGTCAGACCGAGCTCATCCAGCTGCCCCCTGGCGCCTGCTTCTGGCTCCTTGTGGGGGCACAGAGAGAAGAGCAGGCCAGCCTGCAGAGGCTGGCACTGGTCATTTCCCCTTATTAGTAAGAATGCATGTGTTTGTCTTTTCTCTCCTTCCTACATCCCTTCCATGAAATACCAGGAGAAACTGAGGCATGGTGGCCCTAAGTGACTTCCTTGCCCAGGCAACTAGTCCCTTCTCTTGGTACACCCTGCCCCTGCCAGCTCTCCCTGGCAGGGCTCACCTAACTCCCACTCCCTAAGCTGGCCTATTGGCACATCACGTTGGACGCCATTAATGTTTGGGCCCCATGTTGGGTGCCATTAATATTGGAGCCTCTGGGTGGGTGTCCATTAATGCCAGGATACATACCCCAGCATTACGAAGGTCTCAGCAATCTGGAGAAAGAAGCTGCATGTCCATTCAATAAGGAGCCCAAGACCCTCCTCCATTTCTCCCCTGCCCCATGCCTAAGCCCTACAACTCACCTCCATTGCCCACATTTCCCCAGCCTGTCACCCAGCACTGAGTCCCTGGTGGAAAGGTTTCCGAGGCAGAGGGCAGAGCGACCAGCTGGACATTGCAGGAGATATTCACAGGATCCTCCAGCTCCATCAGGGCGATGTCAAACCCGTCCACGACATCATAGTAGTTGGGGTGCACGATGATCCAGTTGACGGGCAGCAGCTTGTCCCGGTAATAGACGTGCTGCTCCCGCCGCTGCACCCTCAGGTCCGCAGGATCTTTGATTTCCCTGGAGGGAGGGGCACATACTTGGGACTGAGCATCCTCCTGTCCACCCTTTGTAAACCCCAAGCCTTTCCTCATGCCCTTCCCACACTAAGCATACACGCCCCCCTTCTCCATCAGGCACTGTGTGGTCAGCAGAGGGACTCCGGTTGTGCCTACCCACCATCCACTCCTTCTTCTTCTGATAACAGTACCTGGTCTTCCTACTTTTATCTCAGGTTGTTTTCATGGAAGTCAACCACTCCCCGCTTTACAATAGGTCACATGACTCAGGCTTGGAATATCCCCCTATTTATATTGTCGTTGGTTTAGGGACAGGCATATGATCCAAACAGACCAATAAGAGCCTTTCATAGAATGGTCATCGGGACCCCTGGGGGAAAGATCTGTGCTTCCCTCAGTGCTTCCACGCTGGTATGTCATACACCTGAGCTTCTCAGAGCCTCTTCCCCATGGCTGAGTCTCACTCAGACTGAAACCCACCCAGAGGAAAGCAGAGCCCAGAGGTGGAGCCTTCCAGTCTGAAAAAACCCATCTGTGCACCTTCATTCATCCATGTCTGAAACTACGTTCTTAAACTTAAAACTTTTTTTTTTTTTTTGAGCCAGGAAACCCATTATGAAAGCTAATCTGTCATTTGCAACCACAAGGTTCCTGGTTGAAATATCTTTTTTTAAAAAATGGAGATAGAATTCGTATGACATAAAAATTTCCTTTTTAATCATTAAAATAGGCAATTTGGTGGGTTTTAGTATATTTCAACACCATCATCTATTTCCATTATCACCCACCACCACCCTTTCCAGAAGACCCTTCACCGCTTAGCAGTGACATCTAACCCCTCTCCTCCCGTTCCCTGGAGCAGGCATTTCTCTGTGAACCTTCCCCCGGCACAGGACACCATTTCTCCTTCCCTTGTGCATGCTCCTTTACTGTACCATCTCATTTTGGTTTTAGTTTCTGATAATGGAATCATTGGAACATACAACAAGTCACTACGTGTGCTCTCTCCTCTTAGACTCCTTGAGGGCAGGAGCTATCATCTATTTCTTCTCCCAGCCTGGCACATGTGAAGTGCCCAGTGAAAAAACTAAATAACAGAAAACAAAGCAAAATGTGAACAAGGGCCGAGACACGGAGACGCTGGTCCCCGTTGGCTGGTTGGCGGACCGACGTCTTGGGGAAACACTCGCCCCGGGATGGCGCTCTCGCCATGTTTTTGTGCGAAGGGGGTGGGGGACATGCTTCAGCCGAACCCATCACTTCCCACACACTGACATTTAATTAAATGTTGCTTCCCTTCCTCAGTGACAAACCCTGACAGGCATCTGCCCCTCAGGATTCTGTGTGCAAATACTTCCATGTCTATGTCCATAGCCATATCTAAATATATACCGGGGTATTAGTCCTGCTGCCTACAACAGAAACCCAGGCTGACAGTGGCTTCAAGAAGGAAGGTTTCTCTCTCTCCCATGTCACAGTGTAGAGGGAGGTGTCTAAGGCTGCCCAGTGCTCCATAAGGTCAAAGGCGCACACCTGGGTCCCAGGTCTGATCCCCACCCCCAGTTGGGGCAAGTGCAGGAGGCAGTCAATTGATGTCTCTCTATCTCTCTCTTTCTCTCTTCCTCCTCTCCCTTCCACTCTCTCTCAAATCATGGAAGAAATATCCTCACTCAAGTGAGGATTTAAATAAAATTTTTTGGACTTGGTTTGTGGCCTGAAATATGCTCTGTCATAGAGAATGTTATATGTACCCTGGAAGGTCACTGCTGCTGAGGGCTGAATGCTCTATATAAGTCTGGTAGGTCCAGTTGATTTATGAAGTTGTTCAAGTTTTCAGTTTCCTTATTAGTCTTCTATTGAGATTGTCTATTCATTATTGAAAGAAGAATATTGAAGTCTCCAAACATTATAAAGCTGACTATTTCCCCATTCGATTCTGTCCACATTTGCTTTATTTATTTGGGGGCTCAGCTATTTAAGGCATATATTTATTATGTCTTCTTGATAAATTAACCCTTTTATCAACATATAATGTTCTTCGTTGTCTCTTTTAACAATTCTTGGCATAAAGCCAATTTTACTGATATTATTATAGCCTCTCCAGCTCTTTTCTCTGTATACTCCTACTGGGGATGTGCCCCATTTTTTCATTATTAACCTATTTGTGTCTTTGGATCTAAAATAATTCTCTTGGCCCTACCTGGTTTGGCTCAGTGGATAGAGCATTGGCCTACGGACTAAAGGGTCCCAGGTTCGACCCCAGTCAAATGCACATGCCCGGGTTGCAGGCTTGATCCCCAGTAGGTAGAGTGCAGGAGGCAGCCAATGATTCTCTCTCATCATTGATGTTTCTATCTGTCTCTTCCTTTCCGTTTCTCTCTGAAATCAATAAGAAATACATAAAAATAAATAACTCTCTTGTAGACAGTAGATAGTTGGGTTATTTTTTGTTGTTGTTGTTGTTTATTCTGTCAACATCTGTGTTTTAACCAGTGATTTTAATACATTTGCATTTAAAGTTTTGACTTATAATAGGCTTATGTCTGCCATTTTGCTGCCTGTTTTATATATGTCATATCTCCTTGTTATTCATTTCTTCTGTTACTGCCTTCTTTTGTGTTTGATTGACTTTCCTTAATGTACCATTTTTATTCTCTTTTCATTTCCTTATTTGTATATTTTTAGTTATTGTAGGGATTACAATTATACTCAATTTATAATAATCTAGTTTGAACTGATACCAATTTAGCTTCATAGCATACAAAAACTCTATCTACTAGAGATTAATTCCCTCAGTTTATCTTAAATGCCTTAATTTCTCCTTCATGTTGGATGGATAATTTTGCCAGGTATAGAATTCTTGGTTGACAGTTTTTTCTTTCAGCACTTTAAACATTCATCCCATTGCCTTCTGGCCTCTATGGCTTCCAAAGAAAAATCAGCTGTTAATCTTATTGAGGATCCCTTGTACATGACATGTCATAAGTCTCTCTGGTTTTCAAGATTATTTGCAACAGTTTGACTATAATGTGTCTTGATGTAGATTTATTTGCATTTATCCTAGTTGAATTTTCTGAACAATTTATTAGATTCATAGCTTTCTTAAATTTGGGAAATTATTGGCAATTATTTCTTCAAATATTATTTTTGCCCTTTCTCTCCTCTTCTCTGAAATTCTTAAAATGTTGATACACTTAATTGTGTCCCTTATGTCTGTTCATTTTTCTTTGCTTTTTTAAAAATGCACCACACACTGCATAATTTCAGTCTGCTTATCTTTAAGTCACTTGTTATTTCTTCCGCCTACTTTAAATCTGACATTGAACCCCTCTTGAAAGTTTCTCATTTCAGTATTACACCTTTCAGCTCCAGAGTTTATATTTGGTTCTCTTTTACAATTTCAATTTACTAATAGTCTCCAAGTATTCATATGTTACTCTAGTTTCCCCTAATTCTTCATTTATGATTTCCTTCAACACTTTGAGCATGCTTAAGACAATTGATTTTAAAACTTGGTTTAGTAATTCTAATGTCTAGACTTCCCCAGGGATAGTTTCTGTTTATTTTCCCCCGTCACAAATGGGTCAAGCTTTGCTATTTCTTTGTCAGCTTTATAAGTTTTTGTTGAAAACTAAACATTTTGAATAGTATAATGTGAGAACTCTAAAAATAAGATTCTCCCCACCCTTTCACCTTAACAGGCTTTCATTGTTGTTTGTTGTGGCCTGTAGTCATCCATTTGTTTCGTGACTTTTTCAACTTATTTTTGCAAATATTGTATTCTTTGTCACGCATGTTCACTGAAGTCTCTGTTCCATCATCTCAGCAGTCAGCGATCTGAGAGAGATTTTCTTAAACACCTTGAGCCAAAAAGAAGAGCAATACAAAACAGAAAACATGTCCTCAGTCTTTGTAGATTGTCTCTGAGTTGAGATACGTCTTTAGTGTTTAGCTAGACTGACCCCAACTCTGTATTAGCCTTCACCTGGTTGTGCAGAGCTTAAGGCCAGCCAGGGGGTGTGGTTCAGGTTTTTTCTGTGAGTGCATTCAGGCCTGGATTAGGCATTGCACTCTGACTCCCTGGTATATGATGGAGACTTTCACAGCCATGTATTGTCATCCTCAGCCTTCTCCTCCCCAGGTTTTCGGTCTGTCTGCAGTTTACCCTGTCCATTATCCCTCCCACAATTGGATAATATACATCTTTAAATTCTTTCAAAAGACACTGTGTAGGAAGTTGCTCCAGCCCTGAGAGTTTCAAGGGCAGCAAAACAAGAGAACATTCCTGAACCAACCCCTCAGGGATTACAAGGCAGACCAAACTGTACATTCATAGTTATTTGATAGCTAGGTCTCTTTGCCCTTTCAAATCCTGGCAAGGGACACCAAGACCACTGATCTCACAGCCGCCACTGACCTGCAGAGTGGGGGATGGCAATCAAGTAAACAAAAATGCCACAGCACTTTCTTACCTAAAGATTACCAGTCTCTTTATTCTTTTCATCTCTAAAGGTTTGATTTGATTTCAGAAAAGTTTATTCTGACAGTTTCTGTCATGTAATGATTGCTTCAGTGGAAGAACTGATTCTTAGAGTTCCTTATTCTGCCATGTTTTCTTGGTGATGTTTCATGGTGTGGTTTTTAATTTTTTTTTAAATAAATCTTTATTGTTCATATTATTACAAATGTTCCTCTTTCCCTCCTCCCTCCATTGCTCCCCTCCACCAGGTTCCCACCCCACCCTCTGCCCTTTCCCCACCCCCCATTGTCCTCATCCATAAGTGCACAGTTTATGTTCAGTCTCTTCCTTCACTCCCCTCTCCTCTTTTCCCCGAGAATTATATTGTTCATCAGGTTTTTTAATTCCCTTGGTTTTAGATTCACTTGTTGATAGTTACATATTTGTTGTTCATAAATTTTACCTTTATTTTCTTCCTTTTCCTAAAGAACCCCCTTCAGCAATTCATATAATTCTGGTTTGGCAGTGATGAACTCCTTTCACTTTTGTTTTATTTGTGAAGTTCTTTATCTGGCCTTTGATTCTGAGTGATAGCTTTGCTGGGTAGAGTATTTTT